AAGGTAAAGGTTCCTCTTGACATTTAGTCTAGTTGTGTCTGACTCTAGGGGGTGGTGCTCATCCCCGTTTCTAAGTCGTAGAGCCAGCGTTGGTCCAAAGACAGTTTCCGTGGTCACGTGGCCAGCACGACTAGACATGGAATGCTGTTACCTTCCCACTGTGGTGGTACCGATTTATCTACTCACATTTTTATATGCTTTCGAACTGCTAGGTTGGCAGGAGCTGGGACAAGCAATGGGAGTTCACTCTGTCACATGGATTCGATCTTACGACTGCTGGTCTTCTGACCTTGCAGCACAGAGGCTTCTGCAGTTTAACCTGAAGCACCACCACATCCCCTTGTTCACATAGATGAGGGTAATAACCATTGCCTAAAATAAGTGGTTGCCTATGCCAATAGGACATGAAATTTGTCATTGCCTTCCAATGAGCCATTACACAGACCTGAAATATGTTGTAAAGAATAACGTCTGAGCAAGCAGTCATATGAACCTACACTTGAGTTTGCTATGTAAAATCCTGTTTGGTGGATTCTGTTATTAGAAGTCTCAATCTTTTCTTGCCTGCTTAGCAACCATGAAATCAATTGATCCTTTTACTGGCTATGAGAAATCTGTCATCAGTGTGGCTTTGTAAAGTCACCTAGGTACCCTGAAGAACTTTTCAGGTACACTTTTCAACTATATTGAAAAGACAGTTGGATTAAATAAATGGTCATGCATATATGGGTCAGTATGCATTTCTTGCAGATTTGGTGAATGTTAAGGAGACCAGCAACATAGAGAAGAACCTGAGAGCAGAAGGTCAGAATGAAGGAATCTTGTATTCACAGTGTTTGCGCCTGTAAAAACATCAGAGATATTTATGGCACTTTTGCTGTTTGGGAACATAAGGAATGTGTTTTCAGAGTAGCTGGAAAATTCCTTGTTATTAAACTTTTGCTACTATCCTGAGAGTATCCAGACAGATAAAGGGGTGAATGTATGTGGGTGCTAAGGGAAATGGATGGAAGGACCTCAGAATTTTCTAAATACCAAGTAAATTCTGGATTGCAGTTTAGTATCCTGAATAGCACTGAGATATAGGAATGAGGCTTTTGGAGAAAACGAACTCCCAGTCCCGTAATTTGGTGGGAACCCCTAAGATTGAAATATGAGACTGGGAGCCATCAGACAGCAGGAAGAACAGCAGCCCTTTTACCTTCGTGCTGTTCTCACACTGCTTAAGAAAGTATCCGCCCACACTGTTGCAAGTCGTGAGGATTCCCTGAGACTTACAAGAATGAATGGGGCAATGTGTTCCTATAGAGGCTGCCTGTGTAAAGAGTATCTCTGAAGTAATTTCCATATGCACCCTTGCGAGTTGCAGGGAATCTTCACAACTTGCACAGTAGCATGTGGGTGCTTTTCAGAAGGTTCCTAATATTGCTGGTTTTTGCAGCTTTGATGGTGTTATTTCAGAATGGAGAGTTCAAATATGTTTTATCATTAACTTGATTTCGGAGGAAGAAACATGCCTTCTGCAACACAAGTGCGATTTAGACAATTATTGAATTGTTCCATTTGCTCAGCACTCTGAAAGAATTTTTTCAACTATTTGAAAGATCTGGGTGTTGGCATCATTTTAGAACTTGTGAAATTATTTTCTTTTTAAAGGCTGCTTTTCTTCCTTTTATGGGGCTCAGTGTCATTAGAGTATTGTAGTGTTCATCCTTGTGGCTCCTGCTTGTCTTTCCGTCACAAAGGCTCACATTGCGTTTTCCTCTCGCTGCCACCAGTGGATTACCTCAATCCACAATATAAATGACATTTCTCAGAACACTTGTCTTGTGAACACAAACAGAACTTATTTATTGGAGTGAAGCAGATTGAATAATAACAGAAGTCCTTCAGATACACATTATACACAAGCAAATCATTAATAGTTCTCTTAATACATACTGTATCTACTCGAGTATAAGCCTAGTTTTTCAGCACAATTTTTTTGCTGAAAAAGCACCCCCTCGGCTTATAACTCGAGTCAATGTCAAAATTACATGTTCTCCCCTGCAGTGCAGGTGTTCTCCGGACTCCCCCGCTCATCTACGGGCACCTGCAGCCTCTGTGGGTGGTCCAATGACCTGGGTTAAGTACACTGCATTTCTGCTTCCAGGACACTCCCATCCTCCTCCTCCTGCATATTCTATGTACCCACCATTCTCCTCCCACCTCCTCCTCCTCCATCCTCCGTCTCTCTCCATCTTGTTACGCAACAGTAGAGCAGTAGATAAGCGCAGCATCCAGTATGAGTCCTCCCTCCGCAGGCAGTGAGGTGTGTCCCACAGCTCAGAAGGGCAGTATTTTCAAAAACATTTAACCTACTGATGCCTCAATTAATGTAATTTTATTGGTATCTATTTTTATTTTTGAAATTTACCAGTAGCTGCTGCATTTTCCACCCTTGGCTTATACTCCAGTCAATAAGTTTTCCCAGTTTTTTGTGGTAAAATTGGGTGCCTCGGCTTAGATTCGGGTCGGCTTATACTCGAGTATATACGGTACTTCTTTTCCCTTGCAATATCATTACCACCTTCTGTACCTATTTTGTTTACCACCCTTATCACTCAGTATCAGTTCCCTCTCTCTCTGACTAACCAGCCCTTTTCTGTTTCCTTCTCCCGCCAAACCTCATGTAGCTGCTGATCAGCCCTTATCTGTCTCCTTCTCCCGCCAAACCTCATGTAGCTGCTGACTCCGCCTCTCCAGTCCTCTCATAGGCTCATGCAAATTAGCTCATGGCTATGAATGGCATGAGTGATGTGTGCCAATCATCACATTTATCTGCATGATGGGGCAAATAGGATGTATATTGTCTAAGCTACATGATACATGTGTACTGTCTCCGTATTTGTCTGCCATAAATATAAGTGTTGCCTTGCTTTTGTAAGATTCTCTTGTGTCAGATATTCTTGATTTTCCTTAGCTTAAAATAACTGCTTAAAAAATTAGGATTGTTGAGTTTAGCTTCATAGATAAGACTTGAATAAGCCTTGCTCATTACTTTTAGAACAGTGCCAACAACTAATGCAAGTACAGTGCTGTCCGCCAGAAGGGCAGCTTTCATTAACCAGAAGTCTCTAAGTCTTAAATTTCTTTTAAAGGGATGATAAAAAAATATTTTAAGTGTCTAGGCCGTCTCTTTTACTTTTATTTTGGGATTCAGAGGGCCTTTTTTTTTTGGCCTTGCACGATAATTTTCTCTGAACAAAAATAGAACTTCTTTATGTTATACAGCTCAGCTTAAAGAGCCTAGCTCAGCGGTGAGGGAATTATGGCCCACCATTTGATTTTGGACTGGGATTGCAGTCATTGGTGATGCTTGTTGGGACAATGTTGGATGGGAGTCCTGTAACATCTGGAGGGCCAGCTTGCCTATCTTTAGCGCAGGTGTACCAAACAGCTTGCCATTGTCTGTTTCTGAAGATGAAAAGGTCAGATGCACAAAATCACCATTCCCTATGAATTTTGAGAAGGTTTCGTTAGTAGTGCCGCAGATATTTGTAGGAACATAATTTGGCTCTGGACTGTTGTGTCTGCTCACTTCGTGTTGCTTGTGTGATACTGTAGGCAAAACTGATCAGCCTTACTTCTTAAACTAGTACTTCAGACTTCAGGGATGAAGGAAAGCAAGGAAATAATTCTCTCATACAGTGGATCTTAGTTTTACACTTCAGTGGTACATTGAATAATTCAATGTGATACCTTAGTTGGACAACTTAAAAAATCAAGTAGATTGCAAGTTTTTCATGGTAATATGCCCCATCTTCTTTAGGACATTTCTAAAAATTTCTTGGTGTGGTGGTTGTTCATGCCAGGCAAACATTCTTGAGCAGCATGCAAACAGCTTGTGTGGGGTGGTGGAGGAAGCTCCTCTTCAAGTAGCATCTTTGACTTTATGTCCCATCTCTTCAAGAATCACTAAGGGGTCTTCATCCCTCCTGCACTGTTGCCTTCCTTTGAAGTTTGAGGCTTCTATTCGGCTGGGAGAGGGGACAGGGGAAGGCAACCTGGCCACATGACAGGTCTCCATCAGAGAGCTGGGATGAAAATTTAGTGTAACCACCAGGGAAGACCAATTTTAGTAAATGTGGAGTCAGACTGCCTGGTGGATGTTTCTTTTAGTATGCAGTGCTTCTTAGCTGGTGCCAAAAGTCCACATTGTCAGTGTCCTGATTCAAGGGGTAACTTCCATAGTTCAGAAAAAAATCAGAAATAGGCCATATGGTTCCCCCAAAAAAACTAATTCAGTTTCCATACTTCTTAGTATGGAAGTACTGTTTTGTTCACTAGTCGAACTCTGGGTGCTTAAGGATTTTATTGCCAATTGTTAAGGAATGAGATATATAATTTTGTTCACTTTGTTTTTGAGATATAATATTTCTGTTTACTGTACACACTGTCTTGGACTGATACAATGCTTTCTCCAAAAGTCTCTCTTGGAAGATACTTTAGAAACAGTTGAGCATGTTTTCAGTCAAACAGAGGATGGTGACATCATAGCAGATCCTGAATTATCCTTTGAATATTTGCATATCTTTATATCCATGAAGGTTAGTGGAAGGAAGCTCCTTAAGTAGTGGCAGCAGCCTAGTAATACTAACAGTTGACCTTTGACACCCACTGGGTAAAGTGTCACTTACGGATACACTGGATAGAGAATTGACACATTTTCCTACTTTGCCATAGTTCTCAACTTCCATTTAAAAGGAGAGGCCCTATGAGCAGTTTTCTGACCCTGGTTCAGAGATGGAAGGCCCTAAGATTCCCCCACCTGAAAAATCTCCTGAAAGTAACTTCTTTCAGTTTACCTTTTTCTTTTTTTAAAAAATTGACGTTTCCAAGTGTGACATGGCCTGGAGGCTCAGATTCATGTCCCAGGGCCATCAGGCCTTGCCTATCCTAATGTAAGCTGCCTTGAAGATAGTGACAGGAAAGACTGAGCAGTTTCTCTCTTGACACAGATTCCTGCTGGACAGAGTGACTGGTTTACCTGAGGAGCTGATTGCCTTGCGGTTGGTGCCTCTCTTGCTCAATCAGCTTGTGTTTGCTGAGCCAGTAGCCGTCAAGAGTTTCCTTCCTCATCTTCTGGGTCCAAGGAGAGGTAAACTTTATTTGTTCAAAGTGAACACAAATTTATCAAGGTTAAGTGCACAGGCATTAGCCAGTCAACAGCACAAACTAAGAGACTGCCGCCGTTTTGCTTTTTCCAACCTCTTCTCATTTGGTCCCCAAACTATCTTTTTGATATCACCTTGTTATATAGCCCTAAATGTTCTAGTGTGTCTCTCCATAATGTGGAGATTAGAGGTACCCAGTTCCCTCACTCCTACATTTCCTTTGCATCTGCCCCATTCAGATATTGCCTGCCAGCCTTCCTGGTGACACTAAAAAAAAGGCACTATAAAAGGTTTCCAGCTCCAACAGAGTAAGAGAAAATAGCAGTATATTAAGATTGCATATCTTTGTGATACTGAATGACTTTGTGAGATATTGATACCCAAGACACTGAAAGATGTATGACAATAATTTCAAATTGCTAGTTTCAAGTGCATAATGCTGACTCTCCAATTCTTTAACACCAGATAAAGTAGATGAAAACCAAGTCAACGGCCTGCTGTCTCCAGCTGTGTTCCAGGCACATGTCAGCCCTGTGCTGCTAAAACTATTTGAGGTGCATGAAGAGCATGTTCGGATGGTGTTGCTGTCTCATCTAGACTCCTATGCAGAACTCTTCACTCAGAAAGAGCTGAAAAATGTAATATTGCCACAGGTGAATATGGCACACTTAGACTCACTGTCCATTCAATATTATTTTCCCTTTCTGTACAGATAATTCTGAAATTATGTTTGTTGTTTCCAGTAATAACTCATTTTCTCCTTTGTTAGTATGTATGTGTGAACACATTCTTCTCTTATAACTCTGTGCTAGTGCAGCCATAGACTATTTGGGCCTACTTTATACTAAACCTTCTAATCCTTTCATCTTGTGTTCAAGATCAAATTCCATCCTTAGTCGATCATGTCTGGTACCCAGATTCCAGGATATTAAAGGCTTTGTGGGGTTGGCACATTATGTGCTAATTCATTTAGCATAGGAACCTGTAGCAAGTATACTTTCTCAGTTGAATGTGAGTTACAGCCTATCCTTATTCTAGGTTTTGTTGGGGCTGCGAGATACAAGTGACTCGCTGGTAGCAGCAACACTGCAAAGTTTAGGAGTGTTGGTCTCTGTGCTTGGACCTGATGTTGTTGTGGGAGGTGACAGAACAAAAATCTTCAAATGTACAGCACCAAGTTTCACCAAAACAATGGACCTTTCCTCCGAAGGTGAGTAAATAATAGGTTTTGAGCTCTACTACAAACCCCATGGATCCCAAGCTATTTATTATATCTAGTTTTTGATTTTTTTAAATATTTTATTTTTAACAAAGGGTGACAAAAAGGAAAAGGGGATTGAGGTTAAGGGGGAAAAGGAGAAACAATGACATACTAGCATCCATTCTATACATATTGCCATGTCAAAATTCCAAATTGCTCTTTTTACTATTTTCTACCTTTAAGTTCTCATTTCAGTGTATGCGCTTTATACGGTGTCTGTTGACTCAATCCATTTATAGAATAAGTCCCATCTTTCAGTTGCCTTTTGTAAAGGACAGTCCTTCATTACTTCTGATAAAATGTCCATTTCCGCTATTTCCCGTATCTTCTCTATAAGATCTTCTTGTTTCGGTACCGTCGGACTTTTCCAATTTTTGGCATATAGAATTCTGGCTGCAGTGACTATGTATATAACTATATACTCCTTTGTCTTATCTACATGGTGGTCATGTAGAGTAGTGAAACAGTATTGGAAACGAGTACATGCTGTATTGCAACAAATATTGCTCTGTAAGGTGCCATTAACCCCAGAACTGTTTTTATTGAGTATGATACCTGATAACATAGTTTTTGATTTTTTGAGAAACCCTCACAAACTCACCATTCTTTTACCATTATTTAACAACAAAACAGAATTCATCATTTAAAGCTAAAAATAAACACAAAAATGTAAACATTATTTTAAATTAAAAATAAACACAAAGTTTGTCTTGAGTACCACAAAAGTGTGTTTAAGCTGATAGTATTTTTGTGAAAATCTGTTTCATCTTTATCCTTTGAATTTTGTTTCTCCAGTTTGGGAATAAGTGCTAACCAAATTAGACACCAGCTGCGCCTGTTAAACTAAAGTGGGATTGTAATTGGCCAACATATTTGTAAACAGGGTGTGTGTTTTTATAATCCACTGCAACAATAACTAAAGAAGAAAGCACCAGGGATGGCAGGTGTACATTAGATCTCAACTGGGAATCCTGAGCTGTTTAAACTCAGTGATTTTCTCCTTAGGGGTATACTCCTAACAAGGGAAAGGATGTATTTCGGTATATGAAGTGCATTCTGTGGTTTGTAGAAAATGGTTCTTGCACTCTGTTCCATATCCCTTTTTTACATATTTAAAATATTAGCACTTTTAGACTTTCCTGAATCATTGCATCTGATCGTCTAATGATCCAAAAAATGGATCCTGGGTTTTTGTGTATGTGATATCTGGAAAAGCTAAATTGTGAATTGCAGACTTTTCAAGGATCTTGGAAAGAAAGTAACAGTCCATTTTCTCTCTGTTTTATCCTATAATATAGTTGAGATTGAAATTGATTGGGTTATACTTAATTAATCATTTACACAATGTTCCACACCCTTACCTAATTTTCCAAATACATGCTATTGTGATCATTATGGATCTTCCTTAAAAGTATGGACACACAATTCCTCACCTTGAAGTCTACACATACTGGTGTCTGTGAAGCCTAGAAGCAAGGATTTCCAGTTTTATGCTTTGAAGAAAAAGAAGCATGGATTCCTAAATCTCAATGATAAAACATTGTTGTTGTTTTTTCGTTTGATACTCTTAATGGTCAATTAAAAGTATCCCTTGTTCCTGTAATTGTATTCATTCATTATGTATGTTTTGATTAACCTTACATAAACTTGTCTATGAATGTTTACTGAGGATGCTGTTGTGAATAGCACTGTTGTGCCCCTTCCCCCTTTTTTGCTCGTGTATTCTCTCAGATTGTTCCACTCATGCAATGAGCTGCCAGAGAAGGCTGATCTATCAGCCCCTGCAGAGTAACTCAAGTGTGCTCCTCAAGTGCCCCCACGCTGGAAATCTTTCATTCAGCAACAGGAATCATGTGCCAAGGCAAGATTCTCACATTGCCATAAATAAAGGTAACCTCGGTCTTCTTTTTCTTCCCTTGTAACAGCCCTTGCTTCTAAATATCCTCTGAAGAATGTCCTACATCTGCCAATCCGGGGAAAAATCCAGCACCTGTAGCTCCTAACTTGGCGCATTACTCTGAGAACTGTGGACTGTCCTCTTCATATCACTGAAACGTTACTTTTGAACTGATTAGCTGAGGCTCATAGCAGCAGGGTGGATGTCAGGTTAGATGAATGTTGTTCTTATCCAGTGGGCAGTTTGTTAGTTTAGATTGTATTTTAGGTTTCTGTGTAGAAGCATGTACGTTTAGATTTTTACAGTGTAGGATATGAATATCAGGTGTGCAACAGAAGTCAATGCAGCTGTGTTCTGTGTCTTCCACAGGGGAAGAAGACCCTTTGTATTTGCACAGCATTACTGGTGAGACAAGTATACTGCAGAATGGTGGAAACTGTCAGCATACAGCTGAGAGGACAGCAGAAGAGTGGCCAGACTGGAGTGAGTGTGAAGAGTTAGAGACTGAGAAAAATGCAATTACAGATACCAAAAAGAAGGAACTTTGTGTCAACAGCAGCCCCTGTCTTGCCAGCCCTGATGCAGATGTGAAATACTGGGGTGATACAGCTCATAGCCCTCACTTAAAACTTTCCTCAGGAAACAGCCCCAGTACGATAGGGTTAAATGACATCACAGAGCTACAGCTGCCTCCAAATATGTTTGAACTCAAGAAAGAATTTAAAACTCTCAAATTTGATCCCTCACATGGGCCTGGGAGCAACAACAATATATATGACTACAGTGACCAACCGGACAAAATCTCTTATCTGTCCAAGACATCCTTTCTAGAGAGGTCATCCAAGACAGAATGTGGATTAGGGGAGGAATTTATGATCCACGTGAAAAAGAAGGAGTCGCATGATACAGAGCTGGACTGGTTTGCAGACATGGTTCCAGACATCAAGCCACCTTCATCAACTCTCTTGATTCTTCCAGACCTGGGACCCTATCCTGTCATCCAGAGCAACCTAAACCCTGATTCCAGTAGAGTGTGTGATATTCAGAGGGTGCAGTTTTCTTCCAAATTTGCAGCTGCTGAAATTACAGAGGTAAGAATTTAGACACAAGGGAGAGTGTCCCTGAAGTATGGAACTGCAATGCTCTGCAGTTTTCTTTGCTTGTCAGCTAGTCTGATCTAGATGTTGCTGCCACAACAGCACTGTTACATCAGCCTAATTAAACAATGAGCATGACATCGGTTTCTGCCCTGTGAGCCCCTGTGGTTTTGGTGTAACAGTGTAGGGAACTGTTCAGAAGCTTTTCAAATTATTAAATTGGGAAGAGCATTAGGTCACAGTCATCTGAGTACCTGAGTATTCAAAGAAACCAGCTCTTTAAACACAACTATATTTGGTGTTTGTAGGGAAGAAGGGCCTTCTATACAGAAATTGGAAATAATAACATAGGGGACTGAGGTGCTAGCTTTTACTTTGTGTTGTTTCATGATGACTGATAGCATGGTGAAATTTTTTTTGATATGATGAATAACATTTTCTCAAAGTGTTGTTTTGGGATTCATCTGGGATAGTTCCAAGCTAATTTAGCCTTTATGTTTTGCATTTGTAATTTGCTTTTAAAAACATTTTTAGTATTATTGGAAGAACACTACAAATTCCTGCTAGGTGCTAAAGAGGAAATTATATATTAAAAATTGTTTGCAATGTACATTAAAAGGAAGGTACTTCAAAATGGCAGATGAAGGGGAGTGGTATCAGGGGGCAGGTTATTTAGTTGTCTCATGTGCTGCCAGAGATACATCTGGTGGGGCCACTGTGAGATACAGGAGGCTGGACTATATGGGCCCTTGGCCTGATCCAGCAGGGCTCTTCTTATGTTCTTATTTGCTGTGACATGTAGGCATGTGTCCACCTTAGGTAAAGTTAAAGGTTCCCCTTGACTTTTAGTCATGTCCGACTCTAGGAAGCAGTGCTCATCCCTGTTTCCAAGCATAGAGCCAGCGTTTGACTGAAGACAGTTTCCGTGGTCACATGGCCAGCACGACTGGACACGGAACACCGTTACCTTCCCACCGTGGTTATACCTATTTATCGACTCACATTTGTACATGTTTTCGAACTGCTAGGTTGGCAGGAGCTGGGACAAAGGACGGGAGCTCACTCCGTCATGTGGATTCGATCTTACAACTGCTGGTCTTCTGACCTTGTAACACAGAGGCTTCTGTGGTTTAACCCGCAGCGCCACCACATCCCTGCCTTGTACCACCTTAGGTACAGGCTAATCAGACTGAATTTAGGAGTAGAAGTCAATCACTATTGTGGAAGGAAGAGGTGGACAGACAGCAGAAGGTTCATTTGCACATATCTACTGCCAGTAAAAAATAAGGCTTTCAACAGGTTAGCTACAAGTACTCGTCTTACTGGTGTAATTAATCTATATCATTATTCTAGGTGGATGGTGTTGGCTGGGAAGACGAGGAGGAGCTGAACTGGGAAGATAATGCCAACTGGTGACAACTAAGGTTTTGTGCCACGTTGGAATTAGGTAGCTCTTTACACAATGCTGTGAGCAATTTTGTATTCCATTCCACAGGGCACCTAGAACTCAGTTTCTTCACAGCCACTACAAACATTTGTGACCTGCAAATGTAGGACATACATACAGTTAGGGCTTCCTGCTTTGGGTGATGTGAAGTCCTAGGAAAGAGGGAGAGAGCTGTTAAAATACGTTGTTTTATTTTTCCATAACAAATATTGTTTGTGGAAAACTCTAGAGAAAATAAAAAGATAATACTATAGATACATGTTTGTGCAATCTATTTTTGTGATTTTCTGTTGATTTTGCAGGTAGACATTCAAGATCATAGGATAAATATTTTTCTAAGGCTTATTAATACAGTGAGATTAGGTGTGGATTTAAATTATAATTGCAAGAGCAATGGTACAGCATAAATCTTTTTCTTAACACTGGACAGTTTTAATTTCTAAAATGTCCTACAGCTGGTGGTTTAACAGACTTGTAATATTTTGATAGTAACGGCTGGCTAAAGAGGAAAGAAATAAGTATGGAAAAATGACATTTATTTTTGTCTGTTGAGTCACGTACCATATCTTGCTATCTTTTCCATTCACCAAGTCCCTACAACTTGTATAAATAAACCAAGTGCAACACACACATCTAGATTCACAAGTACAGTAGTGGGATGCAATTTGTATCTTTGGCTTCCAGCAGTCTTGGATAAAGGGTGGTTAACAACGCCATTCTGAAATTACCCTAGAATTATCCAGGAACATTAAATTTATCAATGGATGCTGTTCTTCAAACTGTTCAGCTCCATCTGTAATGTTTCAAGTTTCTTTGGGAGCCAAGTGGGCGGTGGGCCCCTCTGTAGCAGCAGCTTCACCGCCTCAAGTGCCTCTTCAACTGTGTCAACTGCAGATTTGTACTGTGCCTCCCTGGGAGAGTAGCAGGCTCTTTTGGGGGAAGGCTATAGATTGAAAGCCAAAGAATTAGTTCTAGAACAGTTTCCAAGCATATGAGTGTTGATAGAGAGGAGCATGGATTAAAAAACAAAGCATCAATTTGTTAAAAAAAGCAACCTAATTTATCAATTCGTATTTGTACGATTCAGTGCCTCCAATCAATATGAATCAGTGATTTCCCCCCCCCCCCATTTGGCTATAAAATGACCCCCAATTCATAGAGACACAGACATTGCAGGGAAGCTTTCCCTGATTCTCCTCTCTAAGCCCTGCAAGCTTGGTGAAGTTTGGGAATCAGATGTCCAAATGATATACCCACAAGGAAAATTCTCCTCAGGTACTTGGAGACACCAAAATCACAGAGAAGTTTCCCACAACTCTCTACAATCCCCCCAAGTTTGGTGAAGATTGGGTTTCCCCAAACCAGCTGCTAAAGGGCACCATCTAGGAGAAGGATGAATCAGAATGTGAAGATAGGTTCTTATGAGATCAAGGTCATGACATTCTGTTAGTCAAATGCCTCTAGAAACAAGTGGAGCATCTTCACCTGGAACTTCTGTTTGTTTGGGGTTTTTTTTTTGAGAAAACAGCTCACCCTTTTCAGAACCGTTATCAGATGCTACTCCCTGTTCTTCAGCATGATGAACTATACTGTATCAAATAATAGTGTTTCAATTTTTGTGGTGGTATTTCTCTTGAATTTCAATCAAATGAGAAATGGGTTAATAGTAGCAATCTGTGTTCTCCTGCATTGGTCAAACTTGGGGTGGAAATGAAAAACTAGCAAGGTTTTTGAATGGTGTTTGAATCACTAGTCAGTAGTGTTGTTCCCAGGTGGGCTGTCTCCCCTTTCTCCCCAATGGTGGGTTCTTGACAGGAAATCAGACAGAGGAAATCACTAGGGCAGTTTGGGTTGGCATTGCGCTGGCTGTTTCTATTAGATTTTTGTTGAAGTGCCTACAGTAGCTAGTTAGAAAGAAATGGACAGTACTATAAACCGTGTATAAAGGGAAGTTCCCTGCCAGTTCTGGATCTACAAGATGGATGAAAGAAGAAAAAGAAGAGGAGCCCTTTCTGTCATCTGTTTGTCCTTTATAGGAGCAAAGGGAAGGCCTTCCTTTTGCCCATGGTCTTCGTCAACAACAGTTTTAAGGAATCTCAAAACAACTTGGTGCTTCCCAAAACAGCAAACGTCAAGTTAGTTTTGGTCCTCAAATTAGCTTGCCACTTCTTGAGCCAACAACTGATGTCTAACCAGGACCCTGGCTGGCTGGGCTTTAGTAGTAAATTGAACTGTGTCCAAACTGACATTTGCTGCAAGCATTAGCTTTTGTTAAACTGTTTATTACTTGGCATAGTCCAATGTTTCATGGGGCAGTTATTTCATTATCTCTCTCATCTGGGTAGGTAACAAATCATGATGGAACATGGATGACCAAAGAAGCTTTGTGTTACTTCTCAAAGGGCGGACTCCAGCCTCCTCTTCTCCTCGCTCCAGAATGTATCCTCCCTGTCATTAGCAACCATGGAAAAGTAAACTAGGGACATCATAGGAGCTATTAGGGGACTTGTAGGAATCCCAACAAATGCTTGGGGAAAATTACACTCTTTTTTTTGTAATTTATGAGATAGGAGGAAGCAAGTTTAATGACCTCAATAAACTTGCTAGGGAATGTCGTGCCTGAAGAAGTTGTGAGTGCTTTTCTAAAAGCCTTCCTTAGCTTTTTTTTGGGGGGGGGGGAATCCAAGTCAGTATGTTTGGAAGGTACCTCAGGGTATTAGTGCTGTACTGAATTAACAACCTTTCATAAGAGGAGAGAAAAGCCATGTTTGAAACTGCTTGACTGAAACTGTCTTCCTATTTTCTTTAGACGCTTATTTTCCCTGTTGAAAGGAAGAGGAGATCAAGAATTCAGCACCCTCCACTAATAAGAATATTAGAATAGGATATGCAGTCAGCATGTTTGGCTGGCTCCAGAGCACACGATGGCTTAGCCACTCTTCAATCTGGCAGAGAGGCTCATCATCCCGCCTTCTGCCAGGAGTGGCTAATCCACCGCAATCTCCAGAGGGATAGGAAGGGAGCACAGAGCCTGCAGCAGCAGCAGATTGGTGAGTGGTAAGTCTGGCCCCAGGGAGCTGGACCCTCATTATCTGCATCTCTAATTATAAAGCCTGTGATCTAGTATGGATAAAGGAATGGATAGTTTTAGAAAATGACAGAATATTAAAACTAGAAGGACATGATTTAAATTTAGGATGGCATGCCTTCCTATGGCATCAAAAAGCAAAAGACAATAAAAAATGTAAGAACCACCTGAAAAGGAAAGCTTTAAACTGGGTATGGACTAAGATCTGGGAAGAAAATTACCAAAAAGTTCCTGAACGGGTCTCATTAATGGAAGCATTTATACAACCAGCATTAATGGAAATCTTGAGATATACAGATTTGTTAAAAGAGGACTTAAGTATGAAGTCAAGAGAAGAACAAGGTACAAAACCTGATTGATGGACAAAAACACAAATGGATTCAAGATATACAAGAAATAAAGTACAGTGGTGCCTCGATTTACAAACTTAATCCGTATTGGAATGGTGTTCGCAAGTCGAAGCACCATTTCCCATAGGAATGCATTGAAAACCGATTAATCCATTCCAGCCAAAGGAAAAAAAATCACCAAAAAATAAAATAAAATAAAAAGAACACAGCAAGCCCGGTCGGAAGGCGCTGGGGCATTAAGAAAAGAAAAAAAGAACTCTAAAACAGTAAAGCCACCTCCATTGCTAAGGCTTTAAGAAAAAAATCCTCCAAAAACAAACAGCAAAGCCACCAATGACACAGCCCAGAAACATACTGCCCCAGCCAAAACCCACCCAGAACAGTTTTTTAAAAGGAGAAAACAGCAGTTTACCTCCCTGCAGGAGGCTCTCCCAAGCCAACGACAACGACACACTCTAACTGCCGAAAGTACAAATAAGCAGCCTCATCACCACCTACAGTTAGAAATTTGAATTGCCCGCTGTAGCGAAAGCCCTGCCCTCACCTGTCCGTCACAGCTGAGCAGTGGAGAAGGAGCCAATGAGGGGACGGAAGGCGGTGCCAAGGGGGGAGGGGGCTGGTTATAAAAGGCTGGTGTATGGAGTATGAAGGAGATTCTGTGAGTGAGAGACTGTGAAACTTAAGAGTGAACTGAGAGTTGATAGAGCTTTAAAGTTAAAGTAAAACTGATTCAGATTCAAGTGATTAGCAACCTGTGATTTACCTACTGTATATTAATCAGATGTTAACCTCCCTGATCAAATAAATGAGTTAAGTTTCAAAAGTACACATGTCTCCTTGAGTGAATGGTATTGAGACAGCAATGCCTGGTGGCAGTGAAGAAGGAAGAAGAGCGAGAACCTTGTGAAGGCCTGGGGGAATAGGGGCTTCAGAGGAGATCGCCACACCCGCCTCTTTCCGTTCGTAAGTCAAAGCTCCGTTTGCAAGTCAAAGAAAAATTTTGTGAATGGAGCTGTTCGTAAGTTGAAATGTTCGTAAGTTGAGGCACCAGTGTATTAGGCTTTTGTAAGGAACAGACACCATTAGATAAGATACTTCTGAATGTAAAGGAAAAACTGATTAAAATGTTGTATAATTATGTACTAGAATTAAAAATGCAAGATGAAATAAATGTATGATAAAATGGGCCCAAAATGTGGGCCACAATATTAACTTAAAGTCATGGTCACAAATATGGGAAGGTAATATTAAGCTAACAAAAGCAATTAATTACAAAGAAAATATGTACTGTATAAGATGTTCTATAGATGGTATATGACACCTGAAAAATTATTGACGATGTATCAAAGTACCTCTAACAAATATTGGAAATGCAAATCAAAAGGAGGTAGCTTTTATCATATGTGGTGGACTTGCAGGGAAGCTAAGAGCTTTTGGAAACTAGTCCATGAGATTTTACAAAAAATGTTATCCTCTATAATTTCATATGAACCTGAACTGTTTTTGTTGAATATAATACCAGACTCAATGTGTAACTACAGCAACAAGAATTTTATATGTCAAATACTGGACAAAAGAGTGGACTCCAACAACCCAGGAGTTAATAGAAACATTTTTTTTGAAGCAGCAGATAGATATTTTAACCAAAGTATTAAAAAACAAAGAAATTGTTGAGGCTAGAAAAAAGTAGGAACTTTTGTATAATTGGATGAGAGATTATGAGAAAGAGAAATTATGAGAAAGAAAATATATCATTTTAGATTTTAAAGACATAGAAAAAATTGGTAAGATAAATTTGAAGTAAGCTTAGTAAGAAACATACTGACAAATGTAATAATGATATATACTGTTTTCTATCACATTCTGTATTTTTTATTTACCCCAATACCCTGATCCAAATCCTCTTCCCTATAATCTTCCCTTATCTAATGGAAAATGAATAGAAAGAAAAAGAAAGAGCACACCATACTCTGATCTCTGGCTGTAGGCTAGCTTTTTCACATCCCTGCATGTATGGCCAAGATGGCAGCTACAAGAAAAAAAGGGCACACCGCTGCAAGAGAGGAATGGTGGACTGCCTTGAGGCACGGGAGGTTGGTGATTTCCTAGGGTTCTGAATGCATTTGGCCACCCATGAGGAGATAGTGGGACCAGCAGTAGTAAGCCTAGAGGATCTGTTGCAAACTGCACTTCTGTGCTGATGGTATGGTTGCCTGTGACGAATGCAAAAATGTACTCACACTTTTCTAACCCACCTACAGAATTTGCATTGTAGAGCATTTCTGTCCACAACCTGGGGGAGAAGATTGTAATAGAGTCCTCCTCTAATGCACTTTCCTCTTTTCACTCCCAGTCCTCCAAAGGAGCTAGTGAGTGTTTGTATGCCAGGCTTGCTTTATTCACCTAAGTCCCACCTGACTACTGGGGAATCACCAGACAGCCCATGGCTTTTTCCAGGCAGACTGCAGATATTATCTTTGTACCAGAAATATAGATCCCTCAAAAGTTCTTCAAGAAGAGGAAATAAGGGGGAGAGGAACAAGAAAAATAACTTCATTTAAAAAAAGGACAAACACTAGAATGGAAAGAAAAAGCTCATCTTGCAGCTGAGTTGAGGAATCCACAATCAGTGGCCTGTTCAAAGGAAGAGCAGAGAATGGGCTGGATGCCTTGAGTTGTCCTTCCACAGTAGGTGACTCTTAGGATTGCTTTAGAACACATGCCTGTTGAAGCAAGTAGGAAGGACAAGCCATTCATGTCCTCTTCTGCTACAGCAAAATTACTGACAATTCAGTGTTTATTGATTTAAAAGTATGCAGAACCATATGATTTTCCAATTCCTAAGTGCGCTTTTTTTGAGAGGGGGCCTCAGAGGAAGGTTGCCGGACCTCTGTGTGTGCGTGTGTGTGCGCACGCACCTGTGGGGGGCCCACCCTGTTATGTTTAATTTCGCAGGTAGCGATGGCGGCTTTTCTCCTTTGGTAAGGCAATTCTGTGAGTTTTTTTTTAAAAAATTATCTCATGCCCTCCCACTCGCTATGCGGTCGCCGGCACTGCTGGTGGTGGTGGTAGTGAAGGAGGAGCTGGAGGGGGTCGTGGCCGGCGACAAGGGCGCGCACACCCCTCCTCCTTGGAGCCCCAGCCAGGCTAAGGAAACTCCTGGGCGGCTTCCTTGGACTCTTGCTCCGCTTGGCGGGAAATCTGATGTGGCCCAGCCTCACCCAGACTCTGCCTCCAGCGGCCCCCAGGTAAATTGAGTTTGAGACCCCTGCTCTAAAGTGTGAGGCTGCATGTGCGCACACAACTCTACCTCCCTCCATGCATTTTCAGCTCCTTTGGTTCTGGTCACAAGGGAACCCTGTGTGCAGCAGGGAGCAGAGTTGTGCGTGCATCCACGCAGGGTCAAAGTCACATGAGAGAAAGAGAGGCAGAGCCCCACCCAGCTGGGCTGAATTTTAGAGTGTACAATGGTTAAAACTATAGTAACCACAGATTATTATTAATCACTGATGTTAACGTTTAAAAATTATGTTAAAATCCATTAAACATGTATCGATGTTAAACCAGAATTAAAAAGCTTAAAACATTTCAAGAACACAAAACTCTAAAGTTCACAGGGCAGGATAAGTGAGTAGCATTATTACTATGAATATGCTATGAATGTTGTCTAAATCTGCCAACACAAATGTTTTAGTACTGTGTAAACAAGCACTCACCCATAAAACTGCAACATACCTCTACAACTAAAGCTGGTGGCTGGTCTGCTGTGCCCCCCAGTAAGTGACATCTGAGAACAGCATTTTCCATTTTCATTCGTTCCATTCTTGCTTCTGCTGTCTCCTCTACGTGGTGGGTCTGAGAGAAAAGCCACAGGAAAAAGACACAAGATTAACCAACTGTGCCACAAAAGCAACAGTTACGGTTTTAAAAACCAGTAGAACACAGCTTTTAATTGTTGTGTTAGCTCAGCTTCCCCCAGATGTCCAGAAAGAAGAAGCCTCTACTTCTCACATATATATATAGGACTCTCTATGACACAAAGGCACCAGCTCCCAGGCTAAAGATCTATATACTGAATCTGAGCAGGTACGTACAGATTACATAGCTGCCTTAGATTATCAGTTCTTTGACAGCCTGTTGTCATGCATAATATAAACACATAGAATAAATATACTGTATGGCACTGTAGAGAGACCAGAAAAACTATCCTGCTTAATGTACTCACATGTTTAGAAAAAAAAAAAGGAATCTGACTTTTCACTAAAACAGCAAACTTCTAAGAAAAGCCCAAGCTTTCCAATTACATTCCTGCATTTGATAAACACTGTTTAATCAACTCATTCTTCAGGATACAGTTTGATGTAGACCACACATGGAATAGTCTATTTCACAGGCAGCTCCTGTTTTAATGCTGATCCCATGAGAGGGAATCCACTAAACTCTTGTGCAAGCATACAGCTTAACTGTTTGTCAAGTGATACAGTACTCTACAAAACTACAAGCCAGAGATTGCCAGGACAAATGAAGAATGCTGTGGCTGCAGAGATCTTATACTCCTCATTTATAAACAGGATACTGGCAATTATGTCCCAATTATTTTTGCAAAGTCATATTAGCAATGAAGCATTCTTGTTTAGGAAACAGAAAAGTCAGCAAGTCACTAATTTTCTGTAAAACTACCTTTGAGATGAATCCAACCACTTTGCTTTTAATTTCTTCAGAGTTAACACACTGGGGAAGTATTTCTTCATGATTTGTTTCCTTTATCCAAAAACACACATAAAGGGAGGGAGACAATTAGGAAAAAACAAACTGCATCAAGAATTTGTAATTAAAACTAGTGGTTCAAGTGGGGTGTACAACAAAAGTGTACGGCTAGTTCTTGTTCCTCTTTACAAAACTTAATTGCTTCCTTGGTGGAACACTCCACTCTCACTCTCCCCATCTCCAGCTTGAAAGTATATGCAAGCCAAAGACTGTCCTGCTGCTTAAAGTGGGCATTCTGCCTACACAAGTCACTGTTGGATTCCACCCTGCTTTTCTAGTTTGGAAGGAGGAACCACATGCTGAACAATCTGTTTCAAAGCATATTTGCATACAACAGGGTAATAGCCTATGTATTATTCAAAATCATGTGCTAAAATCTAGGCAGTTAAATAATTTCTGCCTTGCTCTCTTCCATTTATTTCCCATCAATATTTTTTTAAAAATATTTGTTTTTATGTATTTATCTGCTTGCTTGCAGGATAGTAAAAATGGGGCCAGTCTAGCCTCCTGTGGGAGGGAGTTCCAGGGTCCACACCAATGCACCTGTGAAGGTGGTGGAACCAAGAGGAAGGCCTCTCCTAATTATCTCAGGCAGGCTCATTAAAGGGAGGTGCAGTCCTTGAGACAGCTTGGACCCAAGCTGTTTAGAACTTTATGAGTAAGAAACAGAGATGGGCAGGAATGGAACCACAAAACAGAAAAACCAACGAGTCAGGCTGCTTTGTAGTTCGGTTTGCAACCCAGTTCGGGGATCCTGTTTTATCAAACCAAAACGAAGTGCTGAGCTTTTTTTTCTCCTTGGCACCATTTTCATGAGCAAAATGGTTGTCTCCACCAACACATCCCTACCTGGTGCTGCCGCCATGTCTTCCTCCTCCTCCTCCTCCTTGGAAGTAGGCCCAGTGGAAGGCCTATTCCATGGCAATGGTAGTGGGGAAGAAATCATTTTTCTCTGCTGCCATTGTGTCTATACAGTATTGTCCCGTGGAGCTTTTTCGTATGGTTAAGGGAAAGCATGGGTTGCAGTTGCATTCAAGGGCCCTTTATCAACTACAGTGTCACGCACCCCCCCCCCAGTGACCCCTGTGTGTTTTACCCCTCACCCAGGTTCACCTTTGGACATGACTTGTTCTTTTTTCCCTTTTTTGCTGCCACCAGAGGATATTATCCTCACTATATTAATTATGAATCTCACACTCTTGCTGCCAGATATAACAAGGTTTATTGATGGAGTATTAAATAAATCTTAGAAGGAAAATCATGGATGTTCCATTATCATTCATTCATTAAACGTGGATTTGATTACTTATAAGCTTGCTTGTACTCATTTACTTTAATCAAGATCTCAATATTTTCTGTCGATGTGGTTCTAATTCCTTTTAACTCTTTAATATTCTCTAACTAACCAACTGTCCAATATCTTGTCTAAACATTTCAGTCTTCTCTCGGTCTAAACGCTTCACCATCTAACCCTAACTGCCTCTCTGCCACTCCCAGTTCTCTTGACTCCGCCCCTCCTGTCCTGTCATAGGCTCCTGTACTGGAGCTCTAAAATGACTGACAGGAGTGATGTGTGGGCTGTCCGCCACATACAGCATCAAAGTCTTCGTGGTTTTGAGCAATTTTGTCTGCAGTAGCATGCAAATTCTTCACAGGGAGCTACAATATAGTCTGCGTTCTCTTCCTGCAGGTGAGCATGTAGTAGGCCCTTGGCCACATAAAATTGCCCCACCCCCGGACAACTGTGCAGATGCAAAGGTGGCAGAGAAGAATTACTTCTTTGCCGCTGCCGCTACCACAGAGTAAGCCTTCCAGTGGCCCCTAACCTGCTTAATGATAAATGGATTGTGTGCATTTAAGCTAAAACTGAAAAGGACAACTTTCCTCTTACCTCTGCAAACTGAGTGAATGCCTCTGTGGCATTTTGTTGAATCAACCAATTATTGCATGCCAGCAATGTAGCAAATACAGATGACAGCTTGGACAGTACCTGTACCTAACAAGTTTTGAAATAATGCAGTTATCAACTGAGTTTTAAATCCATACATTCTCCATCTCCCACATGTTCTTGTGAATCATAGCATAAAAATCTAGATATAAATCCCAGAATCACATTCATGGAAAGACCTTAACAGCCCTTCCTGAACTGGCACCTCCCACCCCCAAAACAAATCAACAAACATATCGGAGTAAAAATGCATGCATGTAACATAGACAAGAACATTAAACAAAGAAGTAAATGGCAAGTTACCAGCTACTGATAATTCCTAGGCTACAATAAACTTAGTGGCTACAATACACCCAGAAGCATATTTCTGGCTCAGAGTGATTACTGTTACCCAGTGGATGGTTATCATTTAAACATTCAAAAATGTATCAGAAACGTGAAATTCTTATGACTAAAATACTGTGAATATACTTACCTGGTAGTCATCCCTGAAAAAATATTTTTTCCGTGTTTTGGCTTCATTATTTTATTCTGTTTTTTGATTTATACATTATATGTACAAAAAGAAAGCACATGATAATAGTTCATTGTATTTACCTGGAAATCTGGTGGAATAAAGGGTTTCCCCATTGAAGAGAGAAAGTCTAAGATTGCAAGGAGAACATGATCTGGTGGATTCAGTTGGATGAGGGCAATCTGTACTGTTAACACCTACAACGAAAAAGAAAGTCCAAGATTGCCCTTGAAGAGATAAGAAGTTGGTTGAAGGCACACACACTGCCCCTCTAAAGCATAAGCCCCCTCTGTCCCTTTTACCTAAAATATGATAACATAATATGTGCTCAGATGCCAAGTATTAAGGTTGTGCTCCACCTTACTGCCTCAACTGGCAGACTGCCTCAGTCTGGATTGATGCAATGGGCCAGAATTGCCTTGCCTTGTTTTCCAAAGCCTCAGATGTCATTTTCAATGGGAACAAATGCTTATAACCTTCCTTTGTTGACAGTTTCACCCATTTCAACCTCTTCTGATGGAAGAAAAGCTTCCAGATTTCAGGCAAATATATGCAGTGGAGATTGTACAAAAGGAGACTTTAAACAGAGCTGGCCAAAATGCAGGCTTCCAGATGTTGTTTAATTAAACCCCTCTATCAGCCAATGGTGGGGAATGCCGAGTTATGCAGTCCAAGATCATCTGGAGAGCTGCACTTTAATGTTTTGGTTCCTTCCCGTGCTCCTCTTCTTTTGCTCACATTTTGATTTGTCTTGTTGTGTGTGTGTGGCAAACATACATTCACACATAAATTGTGTTGCCAAGCTATGTCACATACTTTAAAATCCTGCCTGCTTGTAAAGGTCCTTGCGTTTCAAGCAGAGGGGAAGTCTGGGTCCTTCTTAATCTTCATTTCCAAACCCAAATACCTGTAGTCATCACTGGTGTTTTAAATGTGGTGAGAAAACATAAAAAACAAAAACATTCTTCTGAATCTCTAAAGGGGCTCCAAAGTCTTGGGACCACCTTGCTTTGTTTCACATTGTTCAAGACCCAAATTATCTCAAGCATGAAAGCAATCCAAGAACTTCTGCAATGGGACTACTTGCCTTGGATTTAAGACCAACAGAGGAAGAATTCTGGCAAGAAAGAGAAGAAGGAGCATACGACCCAAACCTACTCACAAGCTTCCGAATGCAATTAAGACCCCAATGACATTGGTGCATCAACCTAATAACAGCACATACAATTTGAAGGACTTTGAAAATAAAGACTTCCAAAACTCACATGCTTCCTTCCTCCTGAGATCATTTCTGAGGAAAAATACTAGCTGAGTTATATCCTAAATCTATTAGAAACAACTCCTATGAAATACAGAAAGCATGATCTCTGATCCTCGATTGTGAAGATCATGGTCTCTCAGAATCCAGAAAGCAGAAAAACAGTAATTTTATTCCAGCACAGATTAATGCTTCCTAAACAGAGATTGGCATGAACCAGAAAAATGGCAGTTCATGGTGGTTTGTGGCTACAAACCATGAACTTTCTGAACTTCTCAAAAACATGAGCCATGAATTGGTTTGTTTTTTTAAAATGTTTGTGCCTGGGTGGGGGATAAGAAACTAAACCACCACCATCACCACCACCCACTCTGCAACCCACCTGCCCCCATACGACTGCCCCTGTCACCTCTCTAGCTTGTGCTGCTGTTTCGTCCTGTTCCTCTTACACTCAGTGTTCCTTCTAATTTTACAGAGCACTGGGCAGAGCCCTGCCCTGTGTGCGCAGGGATCTGGCTGCGACCAGAAGCAAATGGGTGGCCCCAAACCAGTCCTGCCCTGAACCAGTGCCACGTGGCCGCACATCTTAAAGGGAACGTTGCCTCCAGGACTGCCATCTTCATCAACAGCCACTTGGCTTCCCTTCCAGGAGCTGGGCCTGCTGTCTCTGTGCATGACACGCCTGTCAGCTGAAAGGCTTGCACAGAAATAGCAGCCTCACTTCCATGAGCTAGGCCTGCTATCTCTGAGCATGCACAGAAGGCAGCACCCGGAATCCTGGAAGGCCGCGCTGCCACCACTAGGATGACAATGGAGGAGGAAGAAGCAGAAACAGGTAGGGATTAGGGAACAGGAGGTGAGGGGGGAGCAAGCTGTGGGGGACGAGGGGGAGAGAAAAAAGGCAAAACCAAACCATCAAACCAAAAATTGCTTTAAAAATTTCTTGCTTTGTTTTGTTTTGGCTTGTCAGTTTTCATGAACCTGAACTGACCTGAACCAAGAAACCGGCAATTTTTTAGGAACTTACAAACTTATGGTTCATGCCCATTTCTATTCCTGAATCAATCTATAGTAAAAAAAAGAAAGATGACTGAATGCAACGGTTATAACCAGTAGAAACTGGCTTGAAGGGAAAACGTGCTGGATGTTCACCTGTGAACTTAAAAGCAACTTGCCCACCTTACCATTTTTTCTTACCTGAATTAGAACTTGAGGCTCTAACATTTGAATGAAAAGCTGCAGAAGTTGAAATATCAGACAAAAGGCCTGCCACAGGCAGGGCACACTGGACACCTTCAGTGAAAAAGAAGAACATGTTATATCCTTGAGCACCCCAAATCCAACAGGCAGTGGTCACTCAAACCAGTGGCATTTACAGGAATGCTGAGTCAGTGTTCAGCAGTTGGTTACATAGATTTGCTATGGCTGGGATTGGATTTAGGTCTGAATGTTTAACAGTACTGCAGTCAGTTACTGGATAAGTGACATGAAAGAAAGATAGCATGAATGTCGGTCTTTGTCATTTACCAAATATTAAAAAAAAACAAACTAATGCTGTTTTTCAACCTATAGCATGTCAACTTTCATAGGCAGAACGTGTGAAATCCAAATGTTAAGATTAAATTTAGATCACCACAGAGTATCCTAATTCAGTCCTCTCACAGCAGTATTTGTCATAGAAGGCCAAGATGATGAGAGTTACACTCGTTATGGTTAGCACATGGTAACTTCCATTTGTACCATTTCCCTGAAAATAAGACCTAACCTGAAAATAAGCCCTAGTATGATTTTTCAGGATGCTCATAGTATAAGCCCTCCCCCCAAAATAAGCCCTACTTAAGTGAAAGCTCGCCCTCCACCACTGTGCAGCAACCAGAAGGTGACATGATTGTATTTGAATAAATGTATATTGTTATACATGAAAAAAAAATCCCCTGAAAATAAGCCCTAATGCTTTATTTGGAGCAAAAATTAATAATACCCTGTCTTATTTTCAGGGAGATATGGCATTGCGGTAAAATAACATATAACAATACATGAATCAGCCTGGGAAGGGCATTCTTCTTCGCTATGGTAGAAGACAAAAATAAAGGCTTTTCTTCCTTTTCCAGCACATAACAAAGTTTGCAACCACAACAGCCAGAAATAAATACTTTCATTTGTACAACACCATTCTTTCATTTGTACAACACCATTCTTCAGTTGCCCCGAGTAGACGTTGTGTAGAGGGGCGGGGTAAAAATCGAATAAATAAATAAATAAAATACTGTAAAATGTTAACAAAAGCATAACTAAAATATACTACACATTTACTCTGCATGCCAAAGAAACCTCTTGCTTTCTGTTCCCTCTTCTGTTTCCCTTTTACCAAGAAAGAAAGGCTAAGTTCATCTAGTCTCTCTTATGAATGAAAACACAAAATTATGCAGCAATAAGTGTGTCAAGGTTTGAAATTTTGTGTGTATAGAGTGTAAAAATAATAAAGGGAGAATCAGTCCTGGAAATAAAAGAGCTTTTAAAATTGAGGCTCCATAATTGTTCCAAAACAATTGGCCGGCTCTACAGCTAGGTCACTGAACAATAACAACTCCTGACAGCTGAATATATTCATGTGAAAATATGTTTATGTTATAATGAACATGTTTATGTTATACTGTGTAAATATGAAGGGGTGTGTGTAAGTCCTATAGTGCATTAGTGATTAGAATATTTTGAGTTCATAATAATCTAGTGTTTCAGGATTTTAAGGTGACACCTGAAAGCAACAAATGCTTAATGGTATGGTGTTTTATTCCCCTAAACTCTGTAAAATGTTAGTCAAAGCAATAAAATAATGGCAGCCTGCCAGATTTCAAAGTTACAGATTTCTGGAGGTACAAAGACTACACGAATAATGCAATTTCCCATTAAAAAAAGGATTCTTGGAGTCCCTAGCTTTTGGACCTCCAGACCCCTGGAAAAGAGATTATTTGCAAATTGGGAGGATGTGCGTACAACAGACGGAATTTTAAATATAGGGGGGAAAGACATGTACACAGAGAATCCAGGCATGCAACTCATCAACAAAGCAGGGCTTCACGCTATGCCCCCCCCCCACACCAGATACTAACAATCATGTAGCAGTGCAATATCAACAATCATCATAGACACAAATTGGTACAAACAAACTGGTTTGGCTGGTAAGCATTTATAATTATTTTGTGTGTGTTCTTAATATACTCAGAGGTGAAGAATGTTATTTTTAATGTATTTTTTTATTCTTAAGGTTTTAGAGATGTATAATTTCTAAATATAAAGGGGGAAATGGGAGTGTGGGAAGGAAATAAAGCTCTCCAAGGTTCAGAAAAAATGGTGATGGATGACTTTCTAGATGCCTGGAAGTCATTCACCTGTGATGGAGAGGGTTATATGGCTGTAATACGGGGAGTGGTAC